GGTGGGCGCCGTGTGCGTCAGAGGTGCGCGCGCAGCCCGAGGATTTGGGCTCCGTGGGGGCCGGGGGCCCCTGACGACCCGGCCCTGAATTTGTGGTCTGACTCTCCCTGAAGAGGGAAGATTTGTCTGGGACTCAGCTAACAACTTGGGGGAAGGGATTTTTAAAAAAATTCTTAGGGCTGCCACCCATGGAAGACTCCATAATTTGCATAATGAATCAGATCCGCGAATAATGGCCATTTGGAGTTTTGGTTATGTGTTTTTGATAAGCTGGTGGCTACTATAAAAGAAGCAGATACAGGCTCTCAAATTTGTTCATCATACAAAATTTGTAAACATAGATTTTTTTTTCCCCAAAGTCTGAAAGAAATGTATTAAAATTAGTCAACTCTGGGGTACTATAATTATACTTCACACTAAAATAACCCTTTTCAGCTGAAAAGTTCAAAGACCTTTCCAAATACTTGTTTGCATAAAGGTGGACACATAGGGTTCTCATGCTTTGCAAAATATGCATACGTTCGTACTACAGTCCTGAGAAACCAAAACTCAATGCATAATTTCTGCAGTGCCACCTACCAAAAAATATCGTGAAATAGCTGATTGGATCCCTGGAGTTGACTGACTTCGTAAGAGAGAACATTTTTATTTTAATCATGACCAGACTATTTGGTAAAATCCTGCCGCTGCGGGACTGCCTACGTTGTTTTATAAACACAACACGTGCTCTGGTGCTGGCTACACAAAGGGTTGATTCCCAGTCAACGAACCCACATGCCTGGAGTAACGCAAGGACCACCGGGTGTAGCAGAGAAAATCAAGAGTTAGAGCCCCTGCTCCGCAGCTTGCTGCCTGTAACTCCTTGGGCAAGCCACTCCTCACTGCACGGTAAATATCGGGCAACAATGTCTACCTTGCAGCATTAAGGTGAGGATTCAAAGATAGCTCTCTATATGCATAGGACAGAGTGCATGGTATTAAATTCCTATGTCTTAAAGCCTTGAGCAGGGCTCTAGTCAAAGAGAAACCAGGTGATTTTCCCGTAGTACTAAGTTAGCAGTACTTTCAAAGTATTCTTCATTCCCCGTTATTCCTTTGCTACAGATGAACTTGATGAAATTTAATCTCACACTGGCTGGTACAGTAGATTGTTGCAAAAATCCTTTAATCGGTTCAGTTTGATTTTAAAGAGGTTTTTATGCTTAATGTATGCACTCAGCTAGGGGAGGACTTTAATAAAAACTACTTGAGTGCTATAATAGACACGAGAGCGACGTGTTATTTAAAAATTATTTACAAACAAGATTTCAGTGCTATCATAGAGAAAAGGGCCAAAATATAATTAAAATTATTTGGAAACACGAGAGACTGTCTCACATGCCATAGTGTACCAATAAAAATATGCCATTAAAATATCTTGATTACCCCCCCATAAATTTTGTACCTAAGTCACGCGCCTCTCTAGTGTGCCATCCCTTACTCCTCTTTGATAAATGCATAAAGAGTGGAGATTGAGTCTTACCAGGGATCAGTGAGGGTTTGCAGGAAGAGCTGGGTCGTGAAAGACCGGAAGAATTGGGGCAGTTTGTGAAGAGAAGAGAAACTGCTGTCTGCATTGATCTTTCCTTCCCTCTCTTTCCATTAATACTGTACTTACCTTAGCTAAATCTGCAAAAGATAAAGAAAACATAGCTCTTAGTAATCCATTGCTGGATTCAGTGTGTACATTTTCCTCCCCATGTTCCTTGTCTCCTGGTTTTGTGGGTTTTTAGTATAGGTATGCACATTGAAAAATTCTTAAATGATGTTCCAATTTTGTATCTCCCCGTGGTTCCCACTGCAAAATTTTTATCTTTTGCAAATGCACAAAATGTATTTCTGGTACAGTGTCACACAACTGCTTGACTTTCTTACAACAAATCAAAGGAGAGAGTGAGAGTGAAAATATTGCACATATCTAGAAATTATGGTGAAAATGCCAAGATCTTCTTAGTAAATAATTTAATAGAGAGAGATAGATATAAATACAGACATAATTGAAGAAATCTTGTGTGTTCACCTACTAGTGGCAGTGACTAGAAACATGGGGCCTTAAACAAGCTGAACTTCAGGGCGTACGAAGAAGTATGGGGAGGACCTCCAGGGGCTGTGCCATCACCGAGGACTCCGGCCCCACCTGCCCCACATCTCCTCAGATCCCAGGGTGAGGCTCCCGTCCTCGAGGGTGCCCCGGGCCCAAGGGGATCGCCTGGTGTGCGGGACAGCAAAGAGTCCTGTCCGGGGACCCAGCAACCGGCTAGAAGTGGGCGCAGACAGCACATTCAAATGGGGGGGTCCGCGGCTGCATCCACCCAGGGAGCCAGTTCCCCACGAAGGGCAGAGAGTGGGCCCTGGGAGGCGATCTCCTCCCTTGTGGTTAGGAATTAAAAGGCAAAGCGCAGTGAAATGAAGAGAAACAAAAAGTGCAGTTTGGTCGGTAGGTCAGTTTTCCTGATCGCGTGTATACATTAGTGCTTGATTTGGAAACACAGACTTTCCAAAGTTTAGAAAGTAAAATGTTCTTTCTTTTTTGAAGTTAGAGGAATTCGTGACTTCTAAAAGGACTAGGGGATTCATTTAAGCCCCATTTATATTTATTTCCCTTTTTGACTAAAAGGAAACATTTTTTGGTGAAAATGTGCATGCTGTTTATGGACAGGAGAAAGAAAAATTTAATCTTATTCTGACAGCTTGCTCACCCCCCCTCCACTTTCTCCCTCCCTCCATCGGCCCACTACCACCACTCTGCTTAATTGAGGCATCTGTTTTTCAGCATTTAATATGCCAAACATACATCCAATAGAAAGATTTCCACTAGCAAGTGATGTTTAGAATTAAGACAGATACTCTTCTGCCTGAATAATTCCTTGAGCTGGATTTCCATGGTCTCAAACCATCTAAAATATGGCAATATTTTTGACCATCCTCAGTTTGGTATCATAGCTCAAAGAATATTAATGAAGATAATTGCTTTATACTAGTTTTTTTCTGTAGGGGAACTGAATCCAGAGCCTTCATACTGAGCTACATCTTCAGCCCTTTTCATTTTTTATTTTGACATGGGTCTCACTACATTGCCAAAACTAGACTTGAACTTGTGTCCTCCTGCCTCAGCTTCCCAAGGTACTGGGATTACAGGCTTGCTTATACCACCACCCCAAGCTTCACATCTTCTTTTTCAGTTTAAATAATTACACTTTTTGCAACATCATTCTCAATTTTCAGTGTCAACATTTGGAAGAGAAAACATTCCTTACAGTAATGAATTACAGGGTTCAGTGCACGTGCTAGTCTGTGTATTTGAAGATAATCCTGTAAATAGTGAACACTGAAATAAGAACTGAAAAAAATCTATCTTTCTATTCTTATTTGCTGACAGGAAACACATTTATTTATAGTAGCCATGAATGTTACTGGAAGTGTGTATCTCCTAGCCTCACTAGCAACTGCACATGCCCGTGTGATTATAAAATCTAAGCAGAAATGGTATGAGGACCTTACTGGAGGTTCCTGAGAAGAAACAGAAGAAGCTCCTTATCTGGCAGATCAACCTCTTTGCCTCTTTTACTTCCTCCTGCTGCTGGCTTGGAAGGAACCAATGACGTCTGTAAGAGCTGCAACCATGTTGGACCATGAGTAATCTTGTGATCCAAACCCAAAGGCAGCAAGAAGAGATAAACTTCCAACCTGCTTAATTGCTGTCACTTGAGGTTTTGCAACTAAACTTAACCTTGATGCCCACAGTTTGTCATTTAAGTGACTGATGTACCCAACAGTTCCTTCCCTGCCATGGTCATTCAATTACTACTTTAAAAACATTTCTCTGAAACATCGTCTACATTTGTTTCAGTTCGGTCCTTTGGTTTTGGCTCTAGGCCACCACACGTTTCCCATAATGATACCTGTTCTTCGTATTCCTTACTGACAGTGTCAAAATGTTGTTTAGGGTGCTAATGTGCCAAGTGAAGATATCAGGAGCAGCACAGAACACAGATCTATCTGGTGAGATGTAGGAATAATATACCTGGAATTCTGTATCTCATTGTGTTTCACTGTCCTCGTGAGTACTTTGCTTTCCTTCCTCACCGTAAATAAGCATCTTGAAATCATGAATTAACTGGAATGAGGAAAAACCCACAAGCTCAGGATGGCAAAGCAGGAGAGAAACAAACAAAAACACAGAGGACTTTGAATAGCCTTTGCATAACCCCTGGACTTCTCTTCGCTAAACTTCATATTTGGGGAGAAAAATCATTTTCATTTCCTTTAGCTATCACTATGGGATGTCTGTACCTTATGTTCCTGAAAAGTGCACCCTTTTGCTCTATTACACCCCAGTTCAGCAAGAGTCACACTATTCTAGATGGCTGCTTATTAACTTAGTTCAAGAGGAACAGTTTCTCAGTGGTTCGCAAATGTTATTCTTTTTGTCACAGCCCATCACAGAAGGGTGGGATGAGGTGATTTCATGTCAGTATCCTTCAATTCCCAAACCATTTAAACACATTTATGTATATAGATGTAGGTTATATGAAAACAAACAGTAACAAATATTTCCAGATTTTCATTGCTTATTTTTTTTCCAAGAGGTCAGGGGGAAAATGAAGTTTTTAATTCAGTCAAATGTTTAGATATTTCACTTAAGGAAAAAGTCCACCAAGTCTTAGAGGTTTTCATAATAACACAAAGGACTGAAAGAACAAAACTCCAGGAGACACTGCTGGAATTGACAAAATTAAGATGGAAAGGAGTGACAAGCATCAGCAGTGACCCCTGGGTCCTGCAGAGTGGATCGGGCTTGGAATCCCTGATGCCCAGCAGCTGCCCATGGAGCAGCCCCTCTGCCACTCTCTGGTCCTCACAAAGTCACCTGTGGCTACAGCTGAGATGAACGGTTTCTCTTCCTCTTCATCCTGCCAAATGTACCCCTCATGGCAGAATTTAGGTCAAAAGACACTGGCAGCAGAATTTGAGGAATGTCTCATACGAGGAGGAGCTTAGAAGGCTGAGTGTGATGCTGAGTATCAACAGGACAGTGCTGGCCAACTTTCTCAGCCATGTAACCTACTTTCTGAGGTACTCACACACAAAAAAGCAGGTTACTCTGTTCCTTTCTTCATTCATCCTGTCAAAAGCAAGATAAGATCAAATAAAAAGATCAAGTTTACTGTGCCCACAAAGATCAGTTTGAAAACTGGGAGACGTCAAACTGGAAAATTATAGAAAGAAGAGCTGAAGCAAATGATTACAGACTGACTTATAAAGCAAAAACAAATTTGTTTGTTCCTCCACTAGGGAGCAAACTTGGCACCCCAGTCATGCTTGACAAGAGCTCTACCACAGGGCTACAACCCAGCCTGAGAAAGGGTTTTAGTCTTTGCAAGGATTGCAAGTTATTGTAGAGGTTTTTGGATGGCAAGCCATTAGTTAAAAGCGATCCTCTTGTGTGTTTTTGGAAAACAGCTCAAGTTTCACTTATCATTTACAGGAAACAACCTAAATTCAGTTTGGCTTGCATGGCCTAACTGGTTTTGTCTTCTCAGGTGATTCTTAAACTTGATCTCTATTTTACTTGGTTTGAACAATCTGCTCATTCATTGTATCTGTTACATTTAGAAATGCCTATACCTCTTGATAAGACAAAGAAACTTTCTGACATACTGCTATGATCTTATCTGGATATTCCCCCAAAGTCTCGTGTGCTCAAGGTAGTGTTTGTGGGAGGTGCTTAGATATTCATCATTGGATTAGTCCACTGATAAATTGATGGCTAAATATGTTGTTAGAAGGTAGAGACTGACTGGAAGAGGTAGATCATTAGAGGCATGACATGAAAGCCTGCATCTCCCTCCCCAGCTTCTCCCTTCACTGTCTGCTTCCTGTCTGCCATGACATGAGCAGCTCTCCCCTGCCATGCCCCTCTCTACCATGCCACCTCTGCCTGGAGATAGCCGACCATGCAAAGACTGAAACTTTAAAATGTGAGCCAAAATAAACCTCTCCTCCTTTAAGGTGTGCATGTAGGATATTTTTGTCCCAACAACAAGAAAAGTAACTAAGGCAGATTTTGGTACCAGAGAAGTGGGATCGTTGTCAGTACTATACCTATGTAGTTCAAGAAGCTTTGGAACTGGTTCTCAGGAAGAGTTTGGAAAGGTTTAGAGATGCTGGCTGGAGAAGCAGTATTAGAATGCTGTGAACTGAGCTTGATGGGAGATTCTGGTAAGAGCTCGGAAGACCAGAGTGCTCATAGATATGTAGATAGCAAAGGCTAGGTTTGGAGTTTTCAGTTGGGAACAGTGACTCCATTGGCAGTTGGATTCTAGGCCATAAGCGTTATATCCTGGCAGAAAATTTGTCTACATTTTGCTTCTGTCCTGAGAGTTCGTGGAAGACTGACATTAAAGGTAGTTGACTAATTAATCTAGCAGAGGAAATTTCAAGGCAGCCCAATGTTGCTGCTGTGACATGGATACTGTTGGGGGCTTTAGCTGCATTAATACAAAAAATCAAGACTAGCCGGGCCTGGTGGCTCAGGCCTGTAATCCCAGCACTTAGGAGGCTGAGGCAGGAGGATCGCTGTGATTTCAAGACCAGCCCAGGCTTCATCATGAGTTCCAGGTCAGTCTCAACTGCATAGTGAGACCCTGTCTCAAAAAACAAAAAACAAAAAAAAAAAAAAAGAAAGAAATCAAGAGCAAAACCCCATTTCAAAGCTTTTCAATTTTATCAGAAAGGAAGATCCTGCAAAGATGGAGCAAAGGAGAGTTTGATTGCTGGAAAGATTAGCTTTAAAAAGAAGCTAAGAAAAGCTAAGTACTTTAAATCAGGACAAAATGGCCTAAGAGTCTGTTAGGAATCAGCCAGATCCCTTCTTTTAGAGACTACTGGGTGCAAGATTGTAAAGTTTTCACTTGAGAAGAGAGCCCCAGACACTGTGCTGGAGAAGGGTCGCTTAGTGAATTGGTTCCCCAGGATTCATTCACTGTGCTCAACCATACTGACACTAAGAGGACTCAGCAGCCATGATTGAAAGGGACCTACTTACTGTTTGAGCTGTCAGCAGACCTTGGCATCATCCACAGGGTGCTAATTTTATAGGCATGTAGAATGTGG